AAGATGGGATATTATTTGGTTTTCTTCTAAGAACTCGGTGAGTTGTGAGTGTGCGGCTCTTTCACAGACTTTAGACATGATTGGTAGTAAAGATATTGGGCGCGTTTTGGATGGATCATCTGAGTCTTCAGATTTTGGACAAGGAATAACTTCGGCTAGTTTCCACGACTGTGGAAAATTACTTGTATCGAACGAATTGTTGATTAAGGTGGTAATCACCGTAGGGTAGAGCGACACCACATCCACGTACCGTATGCGATGCACGGGGTCTGAGCACAACATCAAGGCCATGGCCTCGTCGTCTGACTCGTCTACTTGGACCTCCCCCTCACAGTACGCGTAGAGACCCACGGCGTTGGTGCGTCCTCCCATCAACGCTTCACGAAGCTGTATGGGGTCCAAGTTCTTGATCCACTCGGGGAACACGTGATATTCACGTTCCGCATCCCACACGTGAACTCCACATTTCCACGACGTGATGCCCTGCGGTACGCAGTTCTAACGTCCTCTCGCGCGTCTTGTCAAACAAGTCGCCCATGGTCACTCCCAGATGAGCGTGGACTTGACCTCGCTTGAAACACACTTCACACCCGTGATAGAAACAGCCGTGAAATTGATACACGGTGTTGGTCTGACGATCGTACCCRTCGACTTTACTGCCTTGCAAGGTAATTTCGCCCAGCGTGCTTCCGGCCCAACGCAGTTCAGGCAGGCCCAACGAGTGCAACCACTCCAGGGCTTGAACCGATTGAATGTCCCGTTGACGATAGCCCAAGGGCGGCACGACGCCCATGACTTCAGATTCCAAGAAGTTCTTCTTGAACACCGTCAAACAGGTCGAGGCAATAGTGACACACTCGGCAAAGGGGTCCACGTCGAACTTGTCCACGTAAAGCTCCCGACACTTCAAGCATCCCCGGGCCATGACCATCACGTCTTGAATACAATACTTTTCAATTTCTTTCTTCATGATGAACGTCTTGCCTTCTTGTTCTCGCCACCACTCCATGAACTTTTCTTTCTCGCGTGCGTCCATGTCATCCACTCCGTAATACTCGGGATCGGGGTAAGGTCCTTCGTACTGCGTATTTTCCAAAGTATTGAAAAAATGAGTAAAATGACCCTTGTCGCCTCCTGACGTTCCAAAGGTGGCAGGGAATTTGTGTAGAGCCATGAGAATGAAACACACCGAATCCTTGAACACGATCCCTTCCAAAGTCATGGTAATGACCTTGCCTCCTTGATACACGCACTTGGGCTTGATGCCTCGTTTCACACACTCCTCCAAGATAGGGTACGAGTCGTACCCCTTGAGGTTATGGGCCAAAAACGTGTACAAGGCATGCACGTCACGCTTGGGACCCAACAACCAATCCATAAAGGCAGAGGCATCGTCAAACGTGAACATCCTTTGTTGACCACGTGACGTTCCTCCAAGCATCGAGCTTCAAAGTCAAAGAACGCTAAGAAAAATTTACGTTTTTCATTTTTCTTGGTCCGTGCGTTGCCTTCCGTAGGGTCGCTGCTTACTTCCTTGATGTAGCACAAATGCTCCCCTCGCGTTACCTTCTTTTCTCGACACACCAAGCAATCGTATTGATAGCAGACGTGATCGTCGACCATGTACCAGACTTTGGTCTTTCGATCGTATCGCATCCGATCCACGGTAGTTCTGCATTGAAGACACACGTACCGTCGTTCGCAGGTGGTATAGGCTAACGACCCCTTGCGACGTCGCATCAGGTGTGAACGGTAACACACGTTGGACCAAAAACCCACGTGACATTCGCCACACGTAATACGCTGATTGGAATACTTGATGTAGTGGTCGTTCCGTTCTTCCCCACACTGCAAACAAGGACGGACACACTTGTGAGTTTCTTTATTGCTGTACCCTCTATTGCAGCGAGTGCAAAAGTAAACCTGCCCCAACCACCCCGCCATAGACTCGATCCAGGTAAAGTGTTCATCCATCCAATTCAGGTAAACGGGGGTCAACGTACCATTGTGCTTTCCTATGCTGCTTCCGAACGAGGCCACCACGTGCCGATTCTTTTCGTCGTACACGCACAATTCAAATCCATGTTCTTCATTCGTCGCATATCCCTCGTTAATGCTAGCACACCACCGCTTGACGTCGTCCAACCCACACGCTTGATCCCAGGTGTCTTCCATCCCCATCTCTCCATACCAATCCTGCAAGGGTTTCTCGTACCCTCCTTCGGCTACCATCTCCAACCCCAAACCCTTCAGTGCCCGGTACGAGGCTCTTCCCAAGCAATTTTCATGCTCGTCGTCAAAGACTCGCGACACCTTACGGCGCTTGCATTCTTCCGTGACCTTGTAATGCGGTCTCTTCTTACCCAATTCGTATTTGGTCAAAGCCTTTTCTTCGCTGCAAGAATGCGTCCTCTGATGGCGATAGATCATGTCGCATTTCAAGCACAATCGATGGTGTAAGACCCTGGCCTCGCCATACAATGCATTGGGCGACACGACATCCAGCATCGCGGGGTCTCCTTCGCTCAACCACATCACCCATCCCTCAGTTTCACTGCTGTAGGCACTTTTCCAGATCACTTCGTGATAAGCTCCCGGTCCTCCCTTTTGGCATAGTACTAAATGTTCGTGGAAGGGTGCACGACACACCTGCATGTCTGTTAAGCTCGAAAAATTAATGTTTTGARCATTCAATGAAGTAAGCAATATTTCATCTATGATTTTTAACTCACTAAACAAAACACTAACTTCGCTAATTAACTTTAACCTGGTCAATGTCATCATCACACCTTCAATACCAAAAAGGTGGCTTTTGTTATTAACATGTGTTACTTGTGGTGGTGGTAAATATACATGTTGTTGTGTCGGACTTTGCTGTACCACAGGAACGACATTGGGCGTCAAACATTGTGTAGCATCTACTTGTTTTTGTATCTGTTCTAAGTTGTTTTCGTCAAAAAAATTCAGCTTAGGTTCTTCGTTTCTAATTTCAGAATTAGCTTGCGTTTTTTCATTTTCAACAATTCGTTTCAAGTTGTCCACGTGTTTTAAAATTTCATTGTTTCCATATTTTAAATCATTATACACTGCATTTATTGTAGGAATTTCAATTGACTACTCCATTTTATTAATATACAAAAAAATTATAAAATACAGTACGTATACTGTATCTTATTACTCTTTTTTTTTTTTTTTAACTAAACTAATCTATTTAGACAATTAATATACTACTAATCGTCTAAGCTACAATGAAAAATAACATAAAATGGGTTATATAAGTTTACACTACTAATATGTACATATGCTTATCGAGATTATATTTTAAACACTAATAACACTAATTAGCTAAGACATCTTGCTATTCCTACAAAATTAATATATACTTATGATTACCAAGATTATATTTTGAACATTAATAACACTAATTAGCTAAGATATCTTGCTATTTCTACAATACTAAGTTTATACCATAATAATGACGTCTAAACTACGACTACTACTACGACTACTTACTAATCTACAAATTAATCAATCAATAAAACTAACATTTTTTTTTGCGTTACAAGATTGTGACATAAACCATATATATTTATGTACATTACTTGTGCGTTTAATTTTTACAGCTGATATGGGTAAGGTTTTTGCAAGATGTACTGCTTTATTTGGTTAGGAAATGAAGCTTGCATTAGAATGGTTGCAAAGAAGCCGTCTAAATGATACAATGATTTTAGATGATGACCAATGGTAAACAAATTTACAAAATGACACAAATTTGGGTTTAACTTTTGGG